CGCTCCAAAAAGGGCAAAAAAAAAATCGCACACTGTAAGCCCAGCTTAAACGCGTGCTTCATCCTGACTAAAGGCCCGGTCACATCTTGACGATTTAGACCAGCCTATGCCAGACATACGAAAAATCTGGAAAAAATGCTGGCAAACGTTGGATAAGTTATGAGTAGGTTTTTTATAAGTACACTGAAGTACGCTGAAACACATTGAGATACGGCAAGAAATTTCGAGCATGCTTAAAATTTCCCGCCGTATGCTAGCATATGCCATACGTTAGCAATAAGTTCCAGGTCAGTTATCTGATGGCTGATATCCGTTCAGTGTCAGTTCCTCATCAGTCGTGGCGTCTAGCTTATCCTAAACCTCTGAGTAACTTGTTCATAACTTCTGCGTAACTTATCCAGAACTTCTCTCCGACATATCAACGTATCTGACGTGTTCCAGACGAGCGCTGAACGTGTTTATTTATGCAGACCGGGCTCCTCCGGGCACATCGCTGCCCCCCTCAGGACACTGTGCATCATTTCATGGGCATTACGCTGCCATGCGTTATGCAGAAGTTAGGCTGGCGTTGGACAGAAGTTCTGGACTCTTTATGAATACTCTATGTAAACGCCCAGAATGAAAAAAATCCATAGAAAGTTCAGCATCTGTCAAAATAAATCGTTAAGGCGGGACCGGGCTTAAACCATAAATAATAACTAATCAAAGGACCAGGAAGCAGACGCCTAGTTTTCTGTCTGCTCAAAAAAAAAAAATTCAACAGGAACAAATAATAACTGAGTTTAAAAGAAAAGCAGCTTTCTTTAAAGAAAATGGGATCTAGACGATGTTAACTTTGGCTGCACAGCATCAGGAAAACCAGCAGCATTTTAATCTGATATCTGCTGTAAGCTGCGTTTCCCTGACGCTCTCCGTCATCATGCGGATATATTATCCAGTTTTATATCTTTAACACTAAATCCTTTGTAAATGTTCAGATGTCTTCAGTCGAGTGTGAACGGAACTTGGTGACTAGAACCAGAACTGACGCCTGGATCTTGGATCTAGACGCAGTTCAGTTAGATGAATGGTTACTATGGAGACGGCTGGGATCTGATAAACTCTGCAGGTCGAATATAGATTTTCTAAAGCAGAAGCAGCAGCTGGTCAGGAGCTCCAGGCGACCTGATAAACCCAGAGATCCCTCTGATAACCCCGCTGCAGATGGTCTGAGCTCGGACCCTGAAACTCTGGAGAACATCGACACCCCGCGACCCAAAGTCGCCGCTTTCAGTCTGCTCTTCTGAACCTTCAGACCAGAGGCCTTTAAGGAGCCGATATCTTTGGGATCAGAGAGTCAAGCAGATAATGATCAGAGTTATCACGGTTCCTTATGGTGTTTCTGCTCAGCCTGAAGCTCTTTGGTTCATCGGAATGCTGCCCCCTTCTGGTAGCAATGCAGCGTAGACTTGAGGAAAGAAGAGAAATGATCTACCAGATGTTTCTGAGAGGATTCATCAGTGATCTGATCTTTAACCTCTGAGGACGCCACTGACCTCAGACAGGTAGAGGGGCTAGTTTTACTGCTGCAGTGTGTGGAGTCAGGGTAACGAGATATGTGAGGTTCCTCCAGGAGAGCTGATGGAGGAGGAGCAGATGGGAGGACAGAGCAGGAGGAGGAGGAGGTGGGGATGCTCTTACCTTCGGCTCAGGTCGGCCACGTGCTCCTGGAGCCAACTGCTGCTGGCAGCTGCAGGGAGACACAGTGACATCAACAGAACACGGTCAGTCCTCATTCTGAAACCTGAATAACTGAAACAATAATTATCACACCTGAAAGTTAAATCCTTTCCATAAAGCAACATATTGCTGGTTTATGCTCAGAAACCACATCGTCTGCGTGTCTCTGATTGGTCAATTCTACATCCACTCTACACTACGAGTATTTCCTGTTTGTTTTAAAAAAAGACCATTAAAAACAATCCACTGGACTTTGTTTCCAAGTCTGAAGACGTTTCTCTTCCATCCAGGAAACTTTTTCAATTCAAAATGTCAGAAATAGGGTTGGTGCTGCGATGATAGTGGAAAGGAATAAACTATCGCTGCTGTGTTTGAAAGCTGAAATCTGAGTCCATCCCCTCTGTTTAAGGTTTTGTTTTCGTTCCTTGTCCGTTTCTATTTGCATGTTTTCTAAACATAAACCAGGCTTTGTTGGGCTGCTGGATAAAACCTGGAACT